GGAAATGTAATTGCTTTGTTTGGAACATGTGAAGAAATTGACAAAAAGCTGACTTTTGACTTTGACTTCCAATGACAGAAAATGCTCTCATTACCCAACATTGAAAWTTTTCTATTTTCAAAGCCAAAYTCCCWAAAATTAAACTTGCAAAATACTCAGTCTGTAAAGACAGAAGAGTCCTGCTGTACTGAACTTGCAAATTTCACTGCTGTATTACACATTAAATGGCAACCACGTTTCTCATAACACCTTCAATTAGAGCAAAGCTAAGCCTAACTTTCAAATTTACAAAGAGGCAAATTAGTTTAGATAAATCTAAAGGCTCAAGAACCAGATTTCAATCTGTGAGCTTTAGTCAGAACTTTGTACCAGGGAGCAGTATACTTTGATCAGTCCTAAAACCCAGTTCAGTGAAAGTTGTCATTTTAACAGCATTTAGATCTTAWGWCAAGATAGCACTCAAAAGCCAACCTCAAAWTGTTCAGTGCTGTATGACGTRCCTCAAAAATACTTAAATGTTATGTTAGTCTCCTCTAAATACAAGTAGCATGTAAAATWGGGTGGTAAGATTTTCCAAAGTACAAAATGACAAAGGCAATTTCAAGATGTTTAATGTAGGATGCATTAGTTTATGACAAGCCATTTTAGCATATAATCGGATTCACGACACTTCCATTCCAGAGATCTGAAATTGAATAATGAGTCATATTCGTTATTGAAGACATCTCTAATTATGTTTTGACTAGTCAAAATATCTATTTGAGATATCTSTAATTACATTTTGACTAGTATAAATGACGTCAGATTTACCATTGAGTTCTATGGAGGTTTCAGTTCAAGATATCTTAAAAGGAATTTTGACTAGTCAAAAACAAAATTCGAGAAATCTCTAAGTTAGTTTTGACTAGTCACTAGTTGCTTTCAAGATATCTGACTTTTAGTTCTGACTATAATTCCAATTAAAGATAGCTTAATGACATCATTATTTAAGATATCTCAAATGTACTTTTAGATATCACAAAAAATTGACTAGTTCAAATTCAATTACAGATATCTTGAAAGCAAATAATGACTAGTCAAAACTAAATTAGAGATATCTAGATCTGTAATTACTGTATGRCTAGTCAGAATTCCTTTTTAGATATCTCTAAATTGAAGATATCTTCATTTTTTTATCTAGATTTCTTTTCTGTGTAGGAGATACCCCAACATAACTTCTCATATTTAACCTAATTAATATCGACTAATATTAACATAGTTAATATATGAGGAAACGGGTTCTTTTCATTTTTAAATAATAATAATAATAACCATCACCTTTAATTATGACCAAGACTTTGACAATGAGTATCGTA